AAAAGCGATTTGCACGTTTTCCGATAGCGGCGTGGCCCACGAGAGAGCAGGTGCTGGTGGGGCCAGGGGACGGAGGGCGATGCTGGTTTGCCGGGTCGTTGCGGGTCGGGTTTCGAAGCAGTTGGAGTTGGAGTCGTTGTTGGATGGCCGGGTCGAGTTCGACTCGGTGAGCGGAGACAGCGGCGAGTTGCTGGTGTTTGATTCACGCGCCGTGTTGCCGTGCTTTCTTATCATCTATAAACTGTAAAAATACAATGTCCTTTTTTAAAGAATTTGTCCCTTTTTCTATTTATTTTTGTGTTTTTTTTTATCACACCTTGTTCTTGCATTTATCAATTCAATTTTTTCTCTTTTTTTTGTTTTGGGTTTTTGATATTTTGGGTGTGATTTATGGAAAAATTGAGTTGATAAATGCCTAATTAACCAGTTTTCGGTTTTAATTCATCTGTGATTACTGTCATGTTCATATTTTTTACTGTTTTACTAATGTAAATAATGGGTTTTTATTGCATGATTTTGTTAAATTATTTTGCTCGTGAGATAACAACATTACTATTCTCTTTTATATAAATGGTGAAGGTAGCTTCGAATTTAGAACTCTTTCAACACGGTTGCATCAGTTGGGATTATAAAACTTGAAATCTATTTTTTTATAGTAATTAGCATTAATCTGTCGTTATTATGGGCAGGAGTTCATATTTTTCATGAGCACGATATGGAATTTTAACTCGTAATATAACAGTCACCAACAAACATAATGATGACAATTGTGGGATAATTGTAACACACACACACACACACAAATGATTACAACTTCAGAACTAAGTATTAATTCTGAGCAATTATAATTTCGGATATTGGTTCAACAGCTAAATTAAGTCGCCACCAACTAAATTCATTAGTCGGTTATAATATATAGATACGTAATTTCAGATATAACATGTTACAAGCATTGTTCTAAAAATTCTCATTTAACGTCGTCTAGGCCCTTCTTAGGCGTTAGGAAGCTAGTTAACGTCTTGATTAATCCTTAGGAGTTTCAAAATTAAGAGAGGACGCCCAACTAGGCATCCACTTAGGTCGCGACTCTCATATAAACAGAAAATAGATAACTTTCATTTTTTTGCATTTTATTTTTTTAATAAATTATAAGAGACTTGTTGAATACTCAGATGAATACTCATTATATTATGGTTCCCCATGTTTTCAATATGTTTTAATACTTTATAATCTGTCATTCAATTTTTGAATGTATGTATTCCAAGTCAATTATGTATTTTTTAAGCATAAACAAATACTTATTTATACGATATATATTACATTTATTTTTAAATCCGTCTAATTCACTTAGACCCTCGCCTAGGCCCTACTTAGGCGCTAGAACCTGCCTAGGTGCTAGGCTCCACTCTGCTCTAATGGCGCCTAACATCTTTTAAAACCTTGGTTACAAAACTCGAAATGTGTATGAATAGTATAAATAAGCCCAACATGAACATAAATAAGTAAACTTGAGCACCACCCACTCATTGCCCATGCGTAATATTCACGTTACACAAGAAGGATTTCTTTATGCTGATGAAGGAATTACTTGTGTAACACAAAAGTACAATCTTTAAAAAAGAAAGACTGAACTTTTCCAGATTTTGTTAAAGGGATAGAAAATGAAGAGACGAGGAATGAAAAGCATAGATGTTGTTTTTCCAATAGAAGTATGGTTAGTTGGTGTTGTTATTTAGGTTTTTAGCATTCTGCTTTCTGGTAAAAAGGCTTTACATTTTCCCTTCTTGTTGAAGATGAAAGGGATACCGTCACGGTTTAATGATGCAACAACCCTTCCGATTAGTATAACGCTCTAGTGATATTCCTTTTTAAGTGAGAGATTTTAGGTTTGATTCTCGTCAAAGACAAATTTGAACCACATTATTATGGCTGCCCATAATGAGACTTAGCCTAATCTCTCACCACCACCAGGGCCGGTCCAGACATTTTTGAGGCTCGGGACGACGCCAAAAAATGTGCCCTCATTTTATATAAGAAAATTATTTGTTTTCACACTTCTAAAATTATACTTAGAAAAACACTTCAAACTTAATAATTAAGAAACACAAAAAGCTAATTTATTTTGTATCGTGAGAAGAAAACAAAAAAAAAACTCCGGGTTTACAAGTAGATAGATATGAGTTTTGTTTTCCATCTGAACTTTTAAATTGTTTTTGTATAAATCGTGAGGTGTTTTTTCTTATTTACCAACTTTGTCAATATGGGACTAAAAAAATAATGATGTTTTTGAGTCTTTAATTGATATGTATAAGTAATAAACGGGTACTAACTTAAACTTTTTGATGACACGTCATATGATTTGCAAATTTGGTCTAAAAATGTGGTCAACGCAGTACTCTTTGTTGAAGATTATACTTGAATTGGAACAAATGTTTAAAAATAACAACTCACATATCTACTAGCTACTAATTAAAAATAAACTAATAACCAAACAAAAATTCGTAAAAATTGAAAAGAATAAACATGCACTTAACATTTTGAACTTAGGATCTCTCATTAATTTTAAACAACAAAAACCATTGATTCTAATTAAAATCATTTAGCCAAATTTTATATATTTATACTCTTACTCTTATGAAAAGAAATTTGTAAAAATTGAAAAGTAAATAACCACACACATGGTGTTTTGAACCCAAGACCTCCTCATTAATTTCAAACAACAAAACCACCCGTTGTAGTTAAATTTCTCTGTCATTGAACCAAATTTTATAAATTTATACTCTTATGAAAATATATATAAATATACCACCCTAATAATTTTGATGCCCCCAATTATTTTGGGCCTCGGACGGTCGCCCTGCCAGCACTGGGCCTGGGCCGGCCCTGCTCACCACTTAGTGTAGATAATATCATGTGTTAAAAAAAAAAAATGCAACAGCCCCATGTGGCCATATCCCACTATTTTCGAATAACATATTTTTATTGTGTAAATTTTAAAATCGGGATTTGGAGCATTTCAACTTATTGATCTTCATTCAAAGATTATGTCCAAAAAATCATTTGAATAAAAAACCAATTAGTGATCGAAATGTATCAAGCAACTCGACGATGCAAGTACTAGTAACATAGTTATGATGAACCGTTCATTTATTTGATATATTTGGATGACAAAATGATTTACGATTTGAATGGCTACTCACAAAATAGTCATAATTAACCATTCATTTATTTGATACATTCGGATGACAAAACGATTTACGATTTGAATGACTTTTTATATGGATGATCTTCAAATGAGAATTAAGAAATTGAACAATTTTCATATAAAATATAACAATTAAGATACGCTATTTACAAAAAATGAGATATGTACATTTCATGTGACAGTAAAATCGTTCCAGAGTCAAACTTGTGAGGTAGGCGTCCGTTTCATTTTCATATGTTTGTCTTGGTCCATTGCTATCCCTCACAGTGAGTCACCTCAGCAGATTTGATGCTGCTGAATAAGCCTAATTTGGTTGACTGGCAAAGTACAGCGCGAGTCACGCAACGGTTTTGCTGCCAAAACTATTACTTGGCTTAAGAGAAAATGAAAGGTACGGCCACAAATCACAATCTTTGATGTGCACCTTGTGCCCAATAAAATTTAATTCCACTTACCAAAAGTCTCTAACCATTTCCAATTTCATGCATGTTTTTCAAGTCAAGCAAAAATAAAATATTGTTCCGTCTGCTAAATGTATTGATTCTACACCTAAAATTTTTGGAATGCCTCATTTTCTAAGATCAACCGAAAGAGCTTACCGGATGCATCATTGACCTCAGACAAGTCGATCGGGCGGGAGAAGAGCTAAAAATTAAAAAAAAAGCATAGTGGGTGAGCAAAAAGCAAATACCAATGAAGACCTTTAAATTGATTCTACATCTTTTAAAGATTACAAGTCAATTGTATTAACCATCTCAATCCTCTGGGTGTAGTCGCCCTTGGTCGAGGATAGCCTTTTGTAATGGCTATGGGCATAGTGCTCAACCTCGGTGAATCGTAACGGTGCTTATTTGTTGACTCTTGCAATTGTCAAAGAATGTTGTGACATTTTCCTCATGGTGTCTTTATGGTAGTTATCCAACTCTCAAGGTTTAGCCATCACGAGTGCTATCTTCCTTCTTGGTTGAGTGTAGGTTTTCCATTCTTGAGAATTGTTTTACGTTTCTATTGAATTTGCCATTGTGCATTTTGGTGTTTATTTTGGCACCTCTAGGGCCTTGTTCATGCTCTCGGAATTTCCTATGTGATTTTTTCCCGAGTAAGGTTTGCTTTGAGGATCACGTTTTTGTCCATTGTAAGTTAATGATTATTTTTAACGAAAATAAAATTCAAGTTTGTTTTTGAGAATTTTTAAATCACAGGAACCAAATTGAGAATGTGATTAACCTTTCTACAAATAGTGGAGAACATAAATTACAGGACACCTAGTGAGTCAATCAGCATCAGTTCACCTAATCAATATAAAATACAAGTTACATTAGGACATGAAACTTTAGAACTTAGTTACGGTATATGTATTTACTAAATACTTAGAAGTCAAACTGGGACATGTCCTGTAGCCAGTTTCAAGGGTTTGATATTTGGGTTAGAAATTCAGAAATAACATTAAATCGTGACTAAGACATTTCATTGTTTTTATTTTTTATTTTTTTTAAATAAAATAAAAAAGAGAATCAGCTGGTGGCTTTACCATGACAGTCCACCATTACAGGAGCTAGAAAGATTCACCGAGGTATTTCAACCTCTTCCTAACGACCATTGTGTAATCTATCAGCACAAGGAATCAAACTCAGAACGTACCGTATAAAATACGGACTTGAAATTTATCTTAACCATTAGACCATCCCGTGATGGATGACATCTCACCGTTTTCTCCCAACTGATATCTAAACTCAAAGCCCAAACTCTCTAGTTTTTTTTTTTGGCTGGCAAATAACCGAACTCCCTCTACTGGTAGTGGTTAACAGCGGAACTCCGTTTAAGTACCAGAATAATAAGAACCCATGCCTATACATACAGCTCTGAACTGCGAGAATCATAGGGCAAGGGTAACATCAATTCGGTTTGAGGAAAAACAAAGAAACAGAGTCCTACAGCAGTGCTCAAACGAAACGCTTTCCCTAAATCGATGCCCTCATGCTACTACTACTAGCTAAAACAACGAGTCTCAATAACCGAAGTTTTTATCAAAATTCATTAGTCGTTGAAACTGGGAAAAAGGGGATGGATGGGGTGAATCAAATCAGATTCCGGAGATGGGAGAGCCCGCAATGTGCCTCTAATGTACATGTTTGTCATGCAGCACCGATGCAGATGAATTATAGTCTCGCCACGGTCATTGGTACTCAACTAGGACATACAATGGCTTTCCATTCAACCTCTCACGTCCCTGCAACATCCAAGCATGAAGTCACTGAATGGACAATGGTGGCTCAAAAAATAGCAATGCAAACTGAGGAAAGCCAGGAGTCAAACCAACTCACTTGTAAATCTGGTAATTCAATTAAGCATGCACATTCGACCACTTCTGCTCCAACGCGTTCTGAGATAAACATTTCATTTAAAATCAAACATACAGAATCACCGCAAAGGTTGGCGCGCATCCACAGATCCAAATAATGTATTTCAAGAAAGTCAAGCAGAGATAATAAATTGATACTTAGAACACAACTGGAACGTGGATTGAAATACGAAAGTTAGACGCAGATCACCAACGGATGCACCAGTCATTAGTCCCATATAAACTATCAGTTGTTCCAATAATTTAACCAACATCTTGTTTATATTCTCAAAAGAGTGATTACCCAATAAATTCATTGCAGCACAGAGTGTGCCTCCTGTGGCTATTAAATCATCTACCACCAGAGCACGCTCACCAAGTTCCACTGCTCCAACATGCATCTCAAGACAGTCCCTTCCATATTCCAAAGTGTATTCTTCAAAAATAACATCACCTGCCCCAACAGAAAAGTTTTACAACAATCCTAATATTAGCCACAACTTCATCTCAAGGGGAAAAGGAGATGCAAAACTATATGTAACTGATGCCAGATGACCGTAATAGAATGTTAGAATTTGAAATATATATGCTCCTAATTGTCAAGAGCATCATGAACAATCTAGGTAGAGTATATAACAAACAAATAAGCCCTATGGTTCACGGAAACAAGAAAGCAAAGATAATCCTCGACCTTTTAAGAACAAAATTAATCCGAGAGATTCTATCTAACGTTATAACCATGGCGTAGTGAAAGACATGCAAGAACTGGAGAGGACAGAAACATATATATTTTATGCAAGATTAGACAACAAAACCACAACAGAACACAGCGCATCTTAAATTATCAAGGACTATGAATTGCTCCAAATGAAGGCAATTCCAAGCAGTGTGTTCGAAGGACCAACTGGACAAACCCAAATGTTAAGGTGTATATATCACTACTCTCTTGCACTTGATCTTAAAATGTGAAGACATATATCGGTCACTGTACTAAGAGACTTAGCAAACTTTGCTGTATCGAACTACAAAATACAGTCACTTATACCAAGAGATGTACACAAAATATCTAATAGAATCAAATTTACCGGGCAGCTTTTTTGGTTTTCTCAGGGGAACGAACTTTGCTCCTATTGCCAATGCAATTGGAGGACCAAAGATAAAACCTCGCGCCTCAATTCCTGGAACAAACAAAAGCAGAAACATCATATTTCAGAAGATCACAGGGTATGGCAAATTGTCATTCTAATAGACAGCTTGAGACTTGAAAGAACACAACATTAACACCACTAACTTAGAAAGGCCCCAAAAAACACAAATTCTGTGTCGACAATAATTAGCTTTGTTAACGGAGTAATAGACGTACACCAGCACAAATAATCACAATGTACCGCAGAATGTGAGAACCCTGGCTTGACAGAAACAGTAGTCAAGGATATAGAAAGATGTCAAACGAAAAAAGAAGGTATTTTGAACAGAATTCCTGAATGCAAAACATGGAATTAAACAGGAGAAGACTACTAAATAGATAAAAAGGCTTTCACACAACAAGAGAGCCTAAGTCCACACAAGCGCACAAATAGAGAAATCCTAGTGTACATAAATCATGACAAAACATAAACAACTTTGGACCAAATCATTTGGGAAATGAATATAATAACTGAGAATCAAGCCCCATCAATAATGAGATGACATTAGATTTTCAACTCTGTAGGACCTAAAGTAGTACATTAGCTATGATCAGTTAGTACTGAAGTCAATCACGATGGATTCCTCGAGACATCAATGCGACTTTACAATCTCCATATACGCAAAGTGTAATTTTCTTCATAATCTTCCACAATTGTAATATTTACCAAAATTTGTAGGGCCAAACAAAAGTAACTCCAATCCATAAAGTGAACCCTCAATACTTCCTCTATCAATTTTTGAAGGGCCAAAACAAAAGCTATCTACAGAAACAAGCCAAGACAGCAAATCATTCATACCTTATTACAGTGAACTATTCACATCATGATAATAAACTCCAACAATGCACGACGCAAAGATTAGTATGTATGGCTGAAATAGTCAGTATAGTACGACATACCAAACACAACCTTAAGGAAATAAACAAAGACAACATGAAGAGAGAGTAAATTAAGGTCATCCAACGGTAAAGTTGGGCAAACCCACATTATAATGAAGCCAAAAAATTCGGCCCAATTGAGATGGAGGGGTCCACTTTTAACAAGGTGGGCAGCATCACCAACCACCATCCACGCAAATTGAACCCGACCACATGCCAGGGAGGGAGAGAGAGAGAGAGAGAGAGAGAGAGAGAGAGAGAGAGAGCAAATGTGAAGAAATTTACAAAGGAGAATAAAGAAACGAGCTTGAGGGAGAGCTATCATCAGTGGCACAGCCCACTAACAAGGCTTAGAGTCAAACAAAAAATCACTCCCAAAACCCATTGTGACTTCCATTTCCATAATGTCTCTTAGAAGCATTCTAAAGGACAAGGAGAAACTTATGCAAATATAACAGTAGACAGCATTTCTTCATCACTCACACCTACTTTTTCTTCTAACCATGGACCCCACCACCTTCAAGTTAATCACTGTTATCAAAAGCTTAGGCCTTTGGCACATTTATTACAAAAGACATCACTACTCTAATTTGCACTAAGAGAAGGTAGCGAGTTTGAACCCAGAATGCAGCAAGATGAAGAAGAAGGGCAAGGGCAATCCACCAATTGCGTTTATACTTCTTACAAACAAATTGCTACTGAAAAAAACTAGTCTTTATGTTTTTTACCTGCAACCACTGAAATATTTTTGCCTTTGTATCTCTCAACGAACAAATCGATGGTGTCCTTGAAGGCTTTTGGGTCCAATAATAAAGTTGTGATATCTTGGAACATAATTCCTGCACAGTACATGCCAGTCCCAGTAAATCAACCAAACCAAACCCATAGTTAAACAACCCTTTGATTATTTGGTAAGAAAAATAGATGAAGGTCATCACTTTCTGCACTAAAAAGAAAACCCACTTCAGCTTATCAAAGTTTTAAACAGCTTGATGAGCCAAAAATACAAAAAAAAAAAAAAAAAAAAAAATTACAGCAAAATGTTTAAACGGGATGAAAAATATATAGAGAGGAAGCGAAGAACAAACCAGGTTTGGGAAAATTTGGGACGACCCGAATCTTGGTTTTAATGCCGTGGATGCGAGGATCTTCGTCCTTCAAAATCGACATTGTTGTTTATGCAGGAGACCCAGAAGAACTTGGTTTCTGTTTATGCAAGTTTCCTTCGCAAAAACTCAGTTTCTTCTGAAACCCCTGCGTGCGAGAGGGTATTTCTTCAACAGACAGAGTGAGAGAGAAGGGGCGCAAGGCACACAGAGATAAGAGAGAGAACTGTATTTATAGAGAGAGAAGCCAAAGTGTGCAGCGTGCTTTCAGTTTTAACTTTGAGAGAGAGAGAGAGAGAGGGAGAGAGAGAGAGTGATTTAAAAGAGGAGGGATGAGAAGGTAAAAGGTGAAAAACCAAAACAAAAACAGAGGAATCACGAGGGCATTGTGCGCGCGGGGCTTGCTTTAGGCCGATTTCGCGCGTTCTTTGAGTAACTGACTTATGATGTAAATATTCCAAGATTTTTCGCGCATTGTTTATAGTTTCTAGTTAATTTGTATTTAACTGAGCTAAATTGGTAGTATATCGACTGAGCTAAATTGGTAGTATATCTGAAGTCGAATCATTTTTCTCATAATTAGACTAGTTTAGAGTAGGCTATTGTTTTTATAAAGAAAGGGGATTGAAATCTTCCCCGGGCAATACAAATACTTCTTTTGAATAACGTATATTTACTGCATAAATTGGAACCATTCAATTTCTTAAACTTCATTTGAAAATCATAAAAAAGATTCTTAAACAGAAAAAGGATGTTGTGGAGCAAAAATTAATCAAGGGTTGGTACGTGGATTTTTGGACAGAAAAGATAAAATTACCTTTGAGGAGCACCAGAATTCCTACGCGCGAGCAGCGGACAATCATCCTACAATCAAGTCAAAAGTGCCCAAAATAGGTATTTATTCAAAACCTATTTCATCCATCTTCTCCACAAGGTAACCCCCAAAACATTCCTTTTAAATTATGTTAATTAGCTAATTACTAGATTTATTACCTAATTAATCTATTAATGGCTATTTAAATTACCCATTAACTATAAAATACACTCAAAAATACCACAAAGGGCCGGTCACCTTCTCCCCCCATGCCCTATATATACTACCCTATTTTCTCTAAAAACCTAGGTCTACACTCTTGCTAAATACTCAAAATTCTCCAAACACTTTCTCTCTAAATTCTAACTTTGGCATCGGAGGTTCTTCGGCCAAAACCCCCCCCAAAAAAAAATCATCGTGGGCGTGTGAGGTTCTTGGCCTTGACCTAAGGTGTTAACATATTCTAACAACTTTCAAAGGCTTTGGTTGTGGAGATTCTTTTAAGGGTAGTGTCCATCAAAACCTTCCTAAATTACAAGTGCGTTTGCAAAGAGTTATATGGTTTACAATTCAGAATCAAGAAATAGACATAGCATTGCAGTGTTTGAATCTAAATCTAAAAGGAGTCGCGTGAGGTATGAAGCGTAGGAGGCACTTGAGTGATGGAAAAAAAAAAACCAAGAAATGGACACTACATTGCAGTGTCTGAATTCAAATGTAAAACTAATATAAAAATAGAACCAGTAAATGGACTCAGTGTTGCAGTGTTTGAATCCAAATGCAAAATCAGACGCGTGGGTGTGAAGCGTAGGAGGCGTGTGAGTAATGGGAAAAAAAAATATGCCTTTTTATTTTCTTTACCTTTTGCTTTCGTTTTTGAAATATTGCCTTTCACTTGTTTTTGTTTCCCTTTAGCTGTTTTTGGGGACATGTTTTAACTGTAAAAGAAAAAAAATATGAAGTTTGTGCTGGTGATATGAATATTGTATGTTTTTGTTTTTTCATCTAATAAAGTCAGAAGCTCAATCCATATAACTATAAAAACAGATGCTACATTGCAGATTTTGAATTCAAATATAAAAGCAAAAGCAGGTGGAAACTAATTAAAATGTAGAGCCTAAGTCCAAATGTAAAAGATAAACCAGAAACAGACATTGCAACACAACATCTGAATCGCAATGTAAAAAATAAACCAAGAAATAGACACAGCAACGCAATGTCTAAATCGACATATACTAACACAGTGTGTTTTGTATATGTTTTTTGATATGCCCATACCAATTTTAGCATCCAAACAACTCAATTCTCCAAACTAAATTTGTGGTGTGTGTTTTTGCTCATATTTATTGATATGTCCAAGCCAATTTTAACATCTAAACTACTCATACTCCTAAAAACACAAATAGTTGCCAGTTAGTACTATGATCTAGTTGTATTCCTCTTCACTTGTAAGTGAGAGGTCTTAGGTTTGATTCTCGCCAAAGGAAAATTTAAACCACATTATTGCTAGTCCATTGTGAAGTCCCCTTTAGCATAAATAATATCGATTATTAAAAAAAAAAACACAAGTAATTCAAATGAATTTTGTGGTGTAGTGTGTTTTACATATGTTTGTTGATATTCCAAGCCAGTTTTAGCATCCAAATAAACCGAAATTCTTAAAAATACAATGAACCCATACAAACACACAAGGAATTCAAAGCAAATATAGGGTCTAGTGTGCTTTCCATATGTTTTTTGATGTGTCCAAACCATAACATCCAAGCAAGCTCAAATTCTCAAAAAACACAATGAATCCATAAAAAAAACACAAGAATTCGAACTAAATTTGTGGCCTAGTGTGCTTTGCATATGCTTTTTGGTATACCCAAACTAATTTTAACATTCAAACAAGTTCAAATTCTAAAAAACATAATGAACTCAAGCAAAACCACAAGGAATTCAAACTAAATATGTGGTGTAGTGTGCTTTGCATATGTTTTTTGATATTCCAAACCAATTTTAGTATCCAACAAACTCAAATTCAAAATCAAAAGATGTAGTGTGCAAAATTACCCCAAATCTCTCAAAAACGCGACTCAAACAACCAAAATGTAAAAATTCAAGAACAAGAAGGAAGAAAAAAAAAAACCTTGATCGTGATTTCTCAGGCAGAAGTGCGAATTTCTTGAGATCGTTTCATTCTTCAAAACCAGGCCCGAGCAGCTAGTCACTGTCGATGCAAATTTTTGCCATTTCTAGCTCGTTTTCAAGAGGAAGAGTTTGCTTTTCGGTTCCTGCTAAAATGCACCTGCAAAACAATCAACACCTTTGATCAAAGACCTAAGCCTCATGGACCCATGATGTAAAAAGGGGGGGGGGAGGGAGGGGGGGTTAGGCCAATGGATCTCCGATGCCTAAGTTAGTTTCGCTGAGAAGAGTAAATGTTTAGGGCTTTTTTAGGGTTGTAAAAGCTTACTGAAATTTGGTAGAATTTGGGATATATATATATATATATATATATATATATATATATATATGGGAGTGGCCGTCCATGGTGTTAGGGTTTTACCGTACACATGGTGGCATCCTATTGGCCAAGGTTTTATGGAGAAATATTCTCAAGATATTAAATATGAGATAATCTCTTGAGATAGTGGAGTAAATATCCCTAATTGACGTAAATAAGGATTATTTACTTGAATGGAGTCAATCTTCAATTGAGAATGTATTAAAGATAGGATTTGGCTAATTAATCCTTATCATTAATGCTTTGACTTTTCCTTGTCAAGGGTAGGTGAACTGTGTGTGAGGTATTCAGGTGCAGGGACTTTCAGGGGTGTGAGCTGATGCCCCCATACCTACTGGGTTGCATGTAGGAAAAAGGTGGTAGGTGTAAAAATCCCAAGTTGCATGGGCTTGTAGAGTTGTTTCCTAATTTGAACTAGATCTCTTTCCTTGATTTGGAGATAGACTTCTTCTAGGAAAAGGAAACCAATTGCCCCCAATACCTATTTAATTCTACCTTAAGTAGTGGATTAAATAAATTTGGAGAACAATCATTATTCCAACAAGGAACAGAGAAGCCATAGGAAATTTGTTCCCCTTTCCTTAGCTTTTTTCTTCTCTTGCCCTTGTAAAGAGTTATCTCTCGTTGTTGTTCTTCTTCTCTGTGCTGCACCAATGTAAGAAAAATTTGAATTTTCTTCTTCTTAATTTTTTTTGGAGCCTTGGGGCTTGAAAAATTGGCTTGGTAAAGCCGAGGTGGCGTGAGGGATGTGGCAAGGGTGCCACATGGCTGTTATATGTGCATAGGGTGCAGTGGTGGAGCTCGGTTGGGCTGGGCCGAGGTGACGGGTGGTAGAAGCCACGACTTGGAGTGTAAGGGCGTGGAGTTGGGCGAATCGAAAGACTCTAGCCTATTTGGGTTCGAGCTTGGCATGGGCCAAGCATGGATGAGTAGGCTCAAGCCTGCTATGGAGGTCGGAAAGGAAAGAGAGACCGACATGGGTCGGGTCTCTCGTGCTGGCAGGTTGGGCTGAGAGGCCTTGGGCCCTATTGGGCGTGCTAGGAGTGAGAGAGAGGTGATAGGAGCATATTCATGCGACTTAAATGGCTTGTTCTCGTGCATTTACGTTATGTTTCTTTAGTTATTTTAGTTCTTTATGCTTCTTTCGTGTGTTTTTAGGTTCATATGGCTAAGGAAGCAAAAAGATGCATTTTTGAGCATTTTGGAGCAAAATCGGACTTGGAATGGATAGCTTATGTTTGGAGAAAAAGGGATGGACGAAATTGAAGACCAAATTATCATCACCACCTATCATACAATTATACACTTATCATCACCACATATCATTCATTTATCACTTAACATATCATTCATTTATCACCACATATCATTCATTTATCACTTAACATATCATTCATTTATCACTTATCATCACAACATATCATTCATTTATCACTTAACATATCATTACACTTATCACTTATCATACTCATAATCATCTACACATTTCAACCATTTAAACACATGCATTTCAACTCACATGCACACCCACCTCTTTCCACCTAATCCACATGTTTTCCCAACAATATAATTGAGCCAACACATGCACCCATCACCCAACACACCCTTTGCCGTCCAAAACACATTCAATTCCAGCATTCCACATGCATTTCCAACCTAGCATTCCTTTCATAAAACAGCCACATGCATACTCAATCAAACAAACACTTCTTGCCGTGCACATTACCTTCCATTTTCCAGCTTTTCTCCTTCTCTTTGCAGCCACACTTTCACATGCATTCACTCATAATCATTCACCAAACTTGCAGCCACATTTCCACCTATTCCTAGCTGTCATGTTCCCTCTCATTTACCTATAAATAAGCATGCATTGCAGCCACAATTCATTCATTCCATTCACAACACAATTCACAACACAAACAACCTCCCTTTGCCGTGCATATCCTTCCATTTCTGT